GGGGGGGGGTTAGAAGAAAGACAGCAAAGACAAACAGCACTGAGAAAGCAAATTAATGTTTACCAGAGATTAATTGTTCAGCTGAATCATTTGAATCCATAAAGACACACAATTATGTTTACGCACGCCATAAATCTGATTAACGCCGAGCTGCAAAAGGAATACAGTCTGTACGGGGGGTTAATGCCCACCCACACAGCACACATCTGATTAGCTGCATAGCACAATCACTTGTCTCTCGTTCAATTACAGTCTATGAAATGCAGTATAGAGATACCCCCCGTAAATTAGTCGCAGCCTTTTCTTATTTGGGACACAAGCATCAGTGACAGAAGTGTTAAAACGACAGCGACTCTTAAAGAGAGACCTTCATTCTGTCAACAAACTGATTTGCCATGCTTGTCTGAACAAGCTTTGGTTCAAGCTGCGTTTGCGGTATTTTTCTAATGATAATGTACAAAATAAATTCTGAGAAAATATCCCTTCATTAGAGTCATCTAATTCTCCTTTATTGGATGCAGAAAGCACTGGGGAGAAGCACAGAATAAAAACATAAAAAACAAATGGCTGTCTTACACAATCGTGAAGAAAACATGTAATATTGTTGTGCATGAAATGTGCAGTTGTTTAGAAGTTGCTGTGCTAACATGCAAATACATGAATAAGGCTTTTACGACAGCACACCGACCCATCTGTATGTGACTACATCTTAGGTTGTGTTTTTAATTCAAGTAAAACCTCTAACCCCTGCTCCCTGGAGGTCTCAAAGTCCCGCTTCTTCCCATAGTTTAAAATGACACCTTGATTGACCCCTCCGCCTTTCCCACAGGGGCAGGCTGGTAACAGTCTAACCATTGAACTTCAGTCGCACCCAGACAGGCCATCTCAGCTGGCCGAGGTGATAATTGAATTTCTCACATACACACTGCCTGTCTGTGTGTATTGATCAGTGCTGTTAATGCAGAGACAGCAAGGTCAGATTCTCTTGTATGGATCACAACATACTGAGATGCATTTGTTGTTTTTCTTTTCTTTGTATTCTGCTAATTGCATAACAGCACATATAGTACTGTGTAAAAATATTTTGAGTAGGGAAATGGGAAACGGGCAAAAATAAATAGAAATACTTTACATTAGGCAAAAACTGAGTTTGTACAATGAACTTGAAAATCATTGTACAAACTCTATTTTGTTAGGGATAGGTGTGGGCATGGACCCAAATGTAAAATGCAACAATGAGAAGTCTGAAAACGAATCCAAAGTAACAAACAGCAGGGGAAATACATTAGTAGGCAACACTACAATCTGACAAAGAGCTATGGGAAACTGAGGCTTTAAATGGATACATGAGGTAATCAGGGATATGGGAAACACCAGGGAAACAAGACACAGCTGAAAGTAATACAAGATGATGAGACAGGGGACACAAAACTGGAAAACAAGACACAAGAGACAGAAGATACCAAAGTAAAACAGGAAGTATCAAAAACAAATGAACCCCCAACACAGAAAAGGAGATTAGACAACAACAGCACAGGTGAGCAGGAAAACTAAGATTCGGGGAGTTAACAATAAACAATAATGATAATCTAAAACTGAGAATGAAATCATAGGAGATTTTAGGTGGAATACAAAACTCAAAATGACATGACAAAAACAAGCTAAGCTGAAAACAGGCAGTGGTACATGAGCTCATAATGCAGGACTGTGTGTTTCTATCCAAGTATGATTTTACTGCATTGGCAGTGTGTTTGGGGTCATCGTCCATTGTCATGCTGCCAATCAGATGCATTCCATGATGGATCACAATATGACTGTACTTTTCTGCATTCATTCTTCCATCAGTTTTGACAAGATACTCAATACCACTGGGTTAAATACAGCCCCAAACCATGGTAGAGCCTCCACTGTGTTTCGTAGATGGCTGTATACACACACTGTTGAACCTCTCTCCTGACCTCCTGATGACAGATACTGACAACAGTTTGAACCAAAACTTGCAAATTTGTTGTATTTCTTAAGGATATGATTTTAAGATACTCTTTATCTAGTATAGAAATTTAGTGGTGTGTCACTCCTTCTTTTTTCCTTTGCTTGTCCAGTTCACTCACATTTCTTTTAGGACACACTGCACGCCACGCTGAGATATGCCAAGTTTATACTGGTTCATGCTTGAAGTATTCAAATGTCAGAGTAAAGTGACTTTGCAGCCTGCCTCACTGTAGAAACTGAAAAAAAAAGCTTACCCCCAATTTCCCATAACTTTTTAGCAATTATTACCAATTAATAAAGGATGAGGCATGAATTCTGCTCAAAGGTGCACCAAAGTATTTTTTTTTACTTCTTATTTTTCATAACCTCCATCCATGTACACTTTTGGAACCACTGCCCTGAGCAATGCTTAAGGTTTCCGCCCCTTTCTGACCATTCCTGATTAATTATTAGCACTCCTGCTGATTCTGCAGTTATGCTAGCAGTTCTGCAAATCTACTTAGATGCTACTTTAAACTAACATGTTCAAAAAGGCAATGATGACATGCTCGCTTTTAGTAGCCATCGTGTTTACGGCCGCCATCTTAATTTGCATTGGTTTAGTAAGCAACTAAAGGGATTGCATGAATCTATGATCTACAATACTTTAGTGGTTAAGACATTTCATAACAAATCGCAGATGTCGACTTCATGGCACTGTGCTGAAATTTAGGAAGTAGTACGAGGAACAAGCATGGCATAAAAGCAGGGTCACAGTATGCTGTTAGAGAAATCGTTCAGTCATTTTAAATGTAATAATTGGTGAGAATATCTTCCCACAGGGAGCATAAACTTTTTTTTTGTGGCAGCTGTTCAAGGAGATCTCCCCTCTTCACATGCATACATGCTCACACACACACACACACACACACACACACACACTACGCACAAACTCGGAAAAGGATTCAGGCGATGGATTATTATCTACTGCCATGACACACAGAAGATTCATCACTATGGCGTGTGATTAGTGTCTCCCTCTCCACATACTCCCCTTGCACTCGATCATCTTGTAGACTGACTAATTGTGTTTTGCCACCGTCACTGTAATGCATTTTTCTGCGATTATCCAGATGTGGGTGACACTGTAATCTATATGGCTCTGACAGCAAGTACAGATGGTGCTGTAATTGTGAGCACACGGTGGCGATCAACCTGCTTTGTAGTCAGAATTATGGTTAGTTCATGTGGGCGTTCTCCATTTGATGTTTTCAGACTCTTTTCAGATGCCACAGATACTCAAGCGGAGTGGTCTTTTGTGGCTGCCAGTGAGATAGGAGGGCATTTATTCAGGCCCAGAACTGACTCACTGAGTGGAGACGAATTGACTCAGAAGGCACTCCAGTCATATTTGTTTCTCTTCAGTTTGATGGAAAACATAAGATTTCCTTTGAGTCACGCGCACGGGGAATTTCTCACACTAAATGACCAAAATCCTGGCTGTGTATTAGAAAAACATTCAAAATTGGCAACATAAACATGCTAGATCTATATTCTAGTGCATTTGTATTATCAATCATCACTGTCATTCACCTCAAAAATAATGTCTATAATAAACTTTCCAAGTTCTCCTGATTTACACCTTACAACTATATATTTAATCAAAGCCTTACTTAATATTTTGATGTTTTCATGTAGCCAAATTAAACCACAATTGTTTTATTTCCCTAAAAATGAAACGCACATTTTCAGTGCTGCTAAATTTATCCCAAAGAGGAAAGCAAATCATGCTGTAATTTTAGAAATAGAGTAAATAAAAACATCTCATGTAACTGCACATTGTAGTTTAATCACTTTATTTTAACTGCGTCAATCAGTATTGACTTGAAACAATTATTATTATTAATCTTATAATTATTTCTTAAAAACGGGTACTGTCAGTCTGCACAGTCTACACAGATTAAAACCTCCCTTTACAACATGCTGTTTATCTCATTGAGTGTCTTGCAAGGTCAATTTTCTCATCATTACAGGTTGTTAAGTACCAAAGTTATTGTATTAAGTGTGAAAAAAAGATTATACCTAACTGAGATAAGACTAAGATAGGGCAGAAAATATGGAAGATTGATTCCTGAGCACCAAAGAAACAAACAAACACACAAAAAAACAAAACAAATAAATTGCCATCAAGTCAAAATTTCAAGTTAGATATCTCAACTTTTCAACTTACAGATTCAAACTTTTGAGAAAATAACTCAAAATTGAGAAAATGGCTTAAAATTCTAAGTTATTGTGTTAAAAGTTTGAGATAGCAACCCCAAATTTCAAGTTATGGATGGCTTTTTTTCCAGTGGGGAAAAGCTTCCATAGGAAAGGAATGCATGACTGCATTTAGTGCACATGTTTATTCGGACAGAGATGTCTACATGCCTCTATAACAATGTTATCTTAACTCTTCTTATGACCTTCTTATGACCCTTGATGAATACACCCATCTTCTCTGGAAACTTACTAACGAAAAACAAACCTGAAATGCACATAAAAAAACATAATTCATAAAGAGATTTTGCATATTTTCACAAACCTATTACAAGCTTAAATCTTAAAGCTCTCAGATAAATGCTGTGATGCACAGTGTTTCTCTCTTTGGTTGCTTAAACTGGACACATCCATTCCTATATCATTTGTACTGCATGTTCTGTTACGTTTCCCTGCTGAACTGGTTTTAACAGCAGAAAGATTAAAATATATAAATAAATAAAACTCTCACCGCTTCATAGTGCGAATGTATATTACGACTATGACGAGGCTATCTGGTTTGTAAAACAAACTGTGCCCTCTGTTGGCGTTAAAACACAGCGCAGGTGCCAGCGCTGCTGAAACGCTGTTATGTTTCTTATTATCCCTCCCCCCCAACAGTTCACGTTTTACACGGAGCTTACTGACTTTTATATGTGCGTACTTTCTTCGTTGAATCTACACCGTATACCGTGAGGAAAAGGGGAGGTAGGAGAGGTGGGGGAGGTGAAGGGAGGCGAGTCCACGCACGGCTGCGAGCTGAAGCGTATTAGCAGCACAGAGAGGGGAGTGATGGAGGAGCTGCAGTTGTCATGGAAACGCCTGGGCGGAGCGATGTGAAGTGGGACCAGTTTGTTTTGTTGTTGAAGATCACATGGCAAGGTGGAGCTCCGCCCCCCTTCCCCGTTACCACCGATTCAACCGTCTCGAGCTCCTGCTCCGGTCAGTTACTACAAAATGGCTGCAGAGGCTCCGCCGCTGCTGAGAACCGACTGAACGCTTCACGGTAGGATTTATCACCGAGTCCGTGAGGTTTACCGCGACGGAGATGTGCCTTGTCGCGTTTTTGTTTCTTGTTGGGGGGGAAATGTGGCGAGTTTCGATAGCAAACATGGCAGCTGGGAATCAAAATATTTTCAGCTCAGCCCACTTTGACATCAGTGCTGTCTTCTTCGTGAGTGCTGCTTAACCCCCCCCCCCCCCCCTTTGTATATATCGCATTTGTCGAGTGCACACTGGAGCTTATTTTAACTTCTAGCGCGGTCGCTGAGGTTAGCACGGAGGTTTTCTTCATAGTATGTTCCTAACTTGAGCTAGCTCGTCATTAAAACATCGTGGCTGCACAGCTGCGGTGATTCAAGGGCGCCCTGTGTTGTCGCTTGTCGAGTTGTCGTATGTGTAGCAGCTTGGCAGACATTGGTGGGACGCTTGTTGTTGCGCTGCCGTGCAAGAGAGTTGACACGAGCATTAAAGCCGAAATATCCTCGGTGCTGCACAGAGAGGTGGCTGGATCTAGCTTGCATCACCTGACTGGGTTTAAACGCATTAGCCACCAGGGTTTTACCTATTGTACTCATGCCCTTGTACGGCCGCTCTCTGTTTCATTTACTAGGACTGCTGCTTGCACCTCATGCATCCTCATCCGCTCGGCTTTTTAAAAAAATAGTTGGTAACTGCTGGTCCTCACTTTCTGCCTACTTTTAGATGCAAAAACTCTCCCCCTTTCAATGCTTTGATTATAACCCCGGCGCTGTGGTTGAAATTGCTCCCAGACTGCTCAATAATTTATACAGTATATGTGTTGGAAATCTCTTCTCAGTTCTTTGTTTCCCATCAGAGACCAGTGTAACCCTTAAGATGCACCAGTTATCTGTACCTGGCTTTTTCCTGCAGCTTGACATCCTGTAGGGACACACACACTCTCCATTAGAAGACAGTGTGTGCGGCTGATGCTGGGGATACCAGTACCCCGATGCATGTAGAGGGCAGATTGATGCAAGCTTTGAGGTCCGCTTGTTTTACTAATGTGTTGGAGTCCTTAATTTGTGTGTGTGTGTTTGGACCTGGCAAAGGGTTAAGAGAAGCGGGCTGGAGGTCTTTTCTGTCCCTGCCAGGTTTGGGGCCCCCGGTCAGCACCCAGTCCTCCTGAAAGAGGCAGTTAGTATTCACATAGAGGCGCCAAAGGGGGGCTTGATAACAAAAACAGACTACTAAATGCTGTGATTACTATACAGCTTAGGTCACAGCCTCACTTTCAGTTCAGAAGTCTTCACGGGTTATTTTGCTTAGAGCTGGACTGGAGGGATGAGGGGTTGCTTTTGCCAGATTATGTCATTTGGTTTGGCGGCTTGTTTTCTGTGTCAGCGATCAGATGCTCGCTTGGAGTCTTCAGTGGAAATGATGAGCTTGATTTCTTATGAAGGCAGTTAATTGATTTCACACACAAAACTCTACTTTTGTCTTGCAAGATGTTTTTGAGTAATTTTATCTCCCCTTTAAAAAAAAAACCCAAAAAGCCCCCCACATATTTGGTTTGCTTGAGTTCAAGTATTTCTTAAGAAATGTATCCCAGAGGAAATTATTATCATATCTTGGTTCTGTTATTTCTATCATTTTCAGTAAGAAACAACCTCTTATTCTATTTCGTTCATTTGTTCTTTTTTTTTTTCTTTTTTTTTCTTTTTTTTCTTTTGAAGTAGTAGCTGTTTTGTTTTTTTTCTGGACAAATACTGCATGAAAGTGTTTTCCTAATTGCCCCTTTCAGAAATAAAAATCTGAAACAATGTGAAAAAACTGTGACAGAGCTGCATGATTGCATTTTAATTAAGCATTTGTTGAGGATTTTCTTTGATCTGTTGGGGGAAAAAAAGAAAAGAAATTGTCAACATGCACCCTAACCCTGTGAACGTGTTCCCTTTACTTTTGGAGCAGCTGACGCTGTGTGCTTTTGGAGTTTGTCCATACAAGTTATTTTAGGGCCTCTACATAGCACCAGGAGTGCAGCACAAGTTTCTCTTTTCCCCCGTCATTAGTCCGGGTCAGAAAGCATTAACATGGCTACACTGAGAATAGCTTCAAGTAGTTTACAGAGTGCAATCCTCTTTGCAGAGCACAAAGACGTTGTAAGTGCTTACCCAGCAGATTTTAAACCTTCACACAATCTGAGCGTATTACTGACAAAAAGTTGCTCCTTTTCTTTCTCTCTTTTCTTTCCAATGCGCTTGAGGTTTTTGCATTTGAAAACCTGCTGAGTGCGGTGACTGATCAGCAGGCTTGAAAAGCTGCGTCGCCCGGCGTGCAGGCGAGCAGAGGGCGCTACACGCGCTGCCATAGCTGTGGCGGCTGCTGCTGCGGCTGCGGCTGCTGCTGCTGCGGTTGTTAGCAAGCCTTCTCCCGAGTGCTCGCCGTTCTCTTGTTTGGCTTGCAGCGATGGCATTCCTGGCTCTGTGCCCAGTGACTGCCGTCTAGCACCCCTTCCCCCAACTCTCACACACAACGCACAAGCCTGCCTCATCGTTTGTAGCACCCCCCTCCTCTTTAGTGGTACAGTGAGGGGCAGTGAGGCATTTACACATCCACGGCAGCAGCGTGTGCAGTTTTGACAGTTCATCTATTGAGTTTCCTCTCCATCTCCACTCCACATTTTCAACCAGTTTTACACCTGCTTTTGTTAGACTGCCCTTGGTCTATGTGCAGTGTGTGTTGCCTTTTTTGTGTCTGAGTGTGTGTCTGGTTTTAAGAGGGACACCAAGCTCTAATCCTGTTGTTCTGACAGGAGGGTGTAATTCCACAACAGAGCTGAGCTTATTGAACGGTGTCCTTATCATGAGCAGTGCTTTGCCACTACAGATTCATAGCATATTCGTGTTGCACATTTGTTAAAAGTACATCCCATTAAGACTGCTTTTTTTGTGATTTATTTGATCAAGATCTTCATTGAATCAGTGCCTATTAAGAAAGGTGCTATACACTAACAGAGACTTAAAATCACTGTTCATTTTCTTCATTCAAATGAACAGTAATGAAGAAATATTTGACAAGTCACATTGAAATAAGTTGATATACACAGACTAGTTTTACACCTTCAAATCCCTAAAATTAGGATCAGCTGTTTCAGATTAGGTGAGTGATTGCAGTCTCTTTAAGCAGTGACAAGTGCAACCTGAATTGGCTTCTAGGATCTGTTGATCTCATTGCTTAATATTGCTGTTGTTTTTGTTATTGATTTACCAGGTTCAGGGGTCATCATGGGGAATAAGTTTGTGGATACCTGTGATTTTTTTTTTTCTTTCTTTCTTTCTTTCTTTTTTTTTTTTTAAAGATCTTGAAAGTAAGTGGGGTAAAAAAAAATGTAAAGAAAATCAAGTTTCAAAGATTTGAGGCAGTTCCCAATTTGTTCAGGATCAGCTGCTGCAGCATGGAAATAGATTAGAGAGAGAAGTTTTCAAGATGCTCCATATTTCATCCCCGGATCTCCAGATAGCTCTCGTAGTCAAAGTGCATACATCTACACAAAGAATTTATGTACTTGCAGAGATGAGGAGAAAGAGTTGTTTGGTCATAGTAACATTAGCAAAATCAAGAAAGATAAAGGACTTGAGGAGTTACAATAAAGAGGAGTGGTTCAAAATCCCCCTGGAGATATGTGCAAACATGGTGACCAACTACAAGAAACATCTTACGACTTTGTAACCCTTGGAGGATATGTTTTCAAAATTACAGACCATTCATATCTTTGTAAGTGAGCAAACTTACAAATTCAGCAGTGAATTAAATTAGGGCTGCACGATTAATCGTTAGAAAATCGCGATCTCGATTCATACTTATGTGCGATCTCATTTCCAAATGACAACGATTTAAAAAAAAAAAAAAAAAAAAAAGGACGACGGTGATTGTACCGCATTTTGATCCGGGACGTAATCTGCATGAAAACAAGCGCTCACCCTTCCTGCTCAACAAATGACAAGGGCGGAGCCTTATACCACGTGATACAGAAGCTGTGCCGTGTGATGCTAAAATTAGCAGGGAAAAAACAACGGAGAGCACGTCAGGGATGACGAGAAAGTGACAGGAGAAAATCCGTCCCGGTCAACCACCCAAACATCAATAACTGGAACCTTATACAGCGCTTCCCTATACCCGTCGAACTCCCGCAGGCACTAAGAAATTGCGGAGGCTATTACTTATCACCTGACCAAAGATATGGCTCCCATCAACACTGTGCAAAACGAGGGATTTAGGAAAATGATCAACACCCTAGACAAACGCTACACAGTGCCGTCCCGCAACTATTTTTCTATTGTTGCACTACCTGCTCTATACACGCAGTGTCGAGCAACGGTGGAGACGGAATTTCAAGCAGTACATTTTGCAGCAACAACAAAACGTGAGACATTTGTTGTTTTTATGTTCAGTCTCAACTGTTGCGAAGTTGATGTGCAGTTAATAAGTGCAATAAATATTTATACTGGAAAAGAAAATCGTGAGAGAATCGTGATCTCAATTCTAAGGCAAAAAATCGTGATTCTCATTTTATGCAAAATCGTGCAGCCCTAAATCAAATACAAATATTATTTAGCGCACATTAAAGTCGCAGGTCACCCTAGACCAGTTACAGGTCTGTCACAGAGCTGACACCCAGAGACAACCATTCATGTTCACATTCACACCTATAGTGAGAATCAACTCTGAATTTTGCATCATAGCTATCTGAAGCATGTACAAACTGATATTCATCTTTAATAGGGCTGTCAAAATTGAGAGCAAACAAAACAAAACAACTGCTGTATAATGCCCTCTGCTATCTTAGTTTAATTGGTCACATGACTGCACCATATGACTAACACGTATCATCGTTTTAGAAAGTCTCTGTTTTTGCTGTCCAAACTGCGACGCACAAGTCGAAAATGCTGCATTTTCCTTCGGGGAAAACGCCGTCTCAGTGTGGACGGGAGGCCAAAACGGAGAGAAAACTATTAGTGTGGACGTAGCCCAAGATGCTAAGCG